AGGACTCTCGGTAGAGCCGATCCGTGACGAGGGCGTCACGTGATTGGGTGGAGAAGAATGTCACGGACAAATAGTCTCACATCGGCTAGGTGTAGAGCCAAAAAACAGTATTTAAGTCCTAAGTTGCCCACCTCTCTTAAGGGCTCTTTTGGGATGTGACAATAGGGTGGTATGTAATCAAATAGCCCAAAATAAAATCATAATTTTATAAAATAACATTTTCTATCAACAATTGATCAACCAAGCCCTGAATAAGAAATACGCAAGCAAATCAACAACAATTCTGCAGCTCAAAAAACAAAAAAAAAAATTTATTTTTTTATAAAAAAAAAAATTTATTTTTTTATAAAAAAAAAATTCCAACAAATGTGCCATAAACAGGAGAAAGCGTCATCAAATAAATACCGAGTAAAAGAAAAAATTACAGTAAAACACTGCTGATGATTTAAACTCGCTTCTGAAAGCATTTAGAAGCGATCCTTCCTCTTCCGGGCTGTGTATTTGGTATCTGGAGGGACAGAGTATCCTTTGTTCCTCATTTGGTTCTTCTTTTTAAGCACCCAAGCTTTGCCTTTGCCTTTCCCTTTGCCCATCTTAGCTATTTTAGACCTTTTTGCTGGTCGATGTCTATCATATATACCAACCTGCATAAATCAAACAAAAGTTCATATCAACTAAAAAATCATAGGTAGATATATGATTAAAAAATCACATCTATCATACTATAAATTGTACAAATACAGACACGGACACAAACACAACACAACACCGACACCGACATCAAACACTTCTATTATTAAAAATATTGGACACTGACACATGTCAAAAAAACAATTATACTATATATATATATATATATGCTCCTTAATTTAGAGAATAATAATATAAGTAGTTAATTAATAATTACTAGCACAAAATAAGCATAGTTAATAATTTTTTAGAATAATAAGGAAAGTTTATATTACATAAGTTTGTTAAAACATACGAGCAATAAAAATCATATTGAATAAATCTGCATCTGTTTATCAGTTTTAATTAGTAAAATAAATATAATGTGAATTTTTCCTTAGTAAAAAAAATATTAAATGAAAATAATAATTATATAATGGTAACAATAAATTTGAAAGAATTTAAATATATTTGTGAATAGTTATAAATAAAAAAAATTAAAATGATTTTCGTCATGTTTGAATATTTAGTTAAGTGTAATTAGTTTACAATGAATAATCTGAATACATAGTAGACTGTGTTGATATTTTGCACTTGTGTTTTCATGAATACTTCACTTTAGTCGATCTCTAAGTGATAAAAACTCCAGGCCAGTATAGTTGACATTGCCATATCACTTAGTTACTAGTATCTGATTCACCCAAAAAAAAGAAAATAAAAAATGAAGCTATTGTATGCATTTATATGTAATTTATTAATCAACAAATCACTATGTGTTACTCCTAATACATTTGATATAATCCAAGTTATATTGGTTAACATTACATGCATGGAAGGGGCATTTAGGAGGTACTTCCTAGGGTTTCAAAGATTCGAGCATTCAATAAGCTAGTTGTAGCTCGGCTTCATAACAACTCATTCACATTCATTTGATTAATTAATTAAACAAGGTTAAACACTTTTATAAATGCTCGATTATTAATTAAAAAAGTTTGAATGACTCGTTCGATTTGTTTATGCTCATGAACAATATTATTTAAATAACGCTAGCAAGCTAGTTAAGATGCTTGATGAATAATTTAATTTAAATTTCGTGAATAAGCTTACAAATAAGCACAATTTAATGCTTATGAATAAGATCAATTAAAGATTAATTTAAATCTTGTAAATAAAGTCACATATAGATTGATTTAAAATTCATTTATATTAAATTAAATTAAAAATTTAATTCATAATACATAAAACAAAACAAATGTGTGTTTGTTTAGCTGTCCATTTATTATGCGTGTTTGTATATTTGTTTTAGTTATTTATTTAGTAGCTCGTTTATTCAAAAGCTCATTTGTTTTTGTAAGTACAACAAATAACTTCCTTAGAAGCACAATAAAACTTATTTGATTAGAAAAATAAGTAGCTTAATCATACAACTCGTTAGTTTGGTTGATAAGTCTTATTTAGTTAGAAAATAAATAGTTTGATAGCAGTAATGTTAATTTGCTCGATATAGACCTTTTGATTAGAAATCAAGTAGCGCAATAATACTACTTATTAATCTGCTTGATAATAACTCGATTATCATCATTTGAAATAAATATGAATGGAGCTCAAAAAGTCAAAAAGACAAATGAGCCAAGCTTGAGCATAAACGCAAAAGGCTCGAGCACAATTCTAGCTTAAATTTTGTAAACAAGCTTAAGCTTGAACACAATCTTGCTCGACTCAGTTTGGTTCGTTTGTAGCCCTTGTACTTACCTTGCATTTTCTATGGGTGGCATACAATAAATGGTTGATTTAGAGAGCAAATGGGAGTGTTTGTTTGTAAAAAAATTGAGGGTGGGTGTCAATGTTGAAGGGGTTTTTTTTTTCCTTCTCTTTTTCACACACGCCCTCAAACGCATGCACACTGCATATGAAAGATTTTGAACCTAAGACATCTATGTTAAAAAAAAAAACTTTCAACCACTAGGTCAAGGTGTGTTGCATGAGTGACAATGTTGGAGGTTCATTTTTTTTTATATCATCATAAGATTCCGTCATACCTTATGAATTGTTTGAGTTGTCTTGATTAAATTACAAGTTGGTTTTGTTTCCAAAATGTAAACTCATTATTTTTTGAGCTAGGTGATTTGGGTTGAATCAATAACCCAAATTCAACTAAAAAAATAATTGGGCTACTGGCAACTTGCCATAAAATCATGACGTTGCCTTGTTGTGCGATATAAATGGTTGGACGATCCTAACGTCAATTTATGATCTTTCCTAAGTTCAGCTTCGTTGCTTTTCCAAAAAATCCCAGATCGGCAAGTCCAAAGACTCTCATCGCTGGTTCAGCTCTTTTGATTTTTGGTTACTTTGCCTCTTCTCTTATTTTTAATTAGAAACTCACAGAATTGCAGAGCCTTTTTCAGCTTGCCCTTCGGCTACATAGAGAAGCGAGTAGCCACATGGCCACACAGTGATGCAAATAAAATATGCCTCTCTAATCTTCGTTACCCTTTCTAACTTATCAACATTCATTAAATCACTTGATGCCTTTAACTGTCCACAAATATCCCTTCCAGTCTCCCACATGGGCAATGAATCTTCTTCTGGACTAATGCGGACCACTCAAATTTTATGGAGGTCCAACAAGCTCTACTGCTGAATCTCTTGGTGGATCAATCAGTTTCTGTTGGTTGTTATTTTATTGGGGTTATTATTATTATTTTATTCTGTCGTCTAAGCTTCAAGGTTTGGTTGGTAATTAACAGTAGTTGCTAGCGTTGTTTGTCATAGTTTTTCACTGGGAGAATTTCTTAGCCTTTAGCTGAGGCTATTATAGGCTACGTTTAAGATGGTTTTTTTATTACATAGGTTAAATGGTCTTGTTTGAGTATTCAAGGCATGTTTAAAGTTGAGTTTGTTACTTATCTGTTGCGTTACTTCAAATATGTTTGAGCTTATTATTTTCTATATCAATTGATCAATTTTCGTTTACTTAAATTTTTATTTTTATTCTAAGTTATATCTATTACATGCTTCTCTTCGTTGGCAGCTGTTATCAATATGTCAGCGTAGCTTCTTGGGTGTGTTTAAATTTGAGATATTTGTTATTTGTGGTATTACCCCAAATCAGGATGTATTAAGTTTTTTGTCCATCGATCAGTTTGATTTATCAAGCATATTTCTTTTTGTTGTGACATCTGTTATATGCTGCCCTCTTTTGATATTGCTATCAAGTGTCAATGCGATTTTTGGAGCTGCCTTTGACAAATAAAATTGGCTTAACGTTGATATGTGTTGTCCATATAATTGGCTGGTCAAATGGTTCAGGTTCATGCAATTCAGGTTTTCGTTCATTCAATAATAGGTTTGTTTTGAATTATAGCATGTTTGGTTCGGGTTAAATTTGAGTCTGAAACTTGTTCTTAAACCTGGATTCATACCCCTGGTCTAGCTATGTGGCTTAGGAACTTGACTCAAGCCCTGATTATGTTGAGTTCGTCAACATTGGTCCATTTGAATGTGTTTTAGCTAAATGACCATTGAAGGGATTTTGCATTGTCTATGATTTATTGATTTTAATGCTAAATGATCCGTTGGCTTTCTCAAGTCTATTAGGATGCCAAGGATAATAATAATAATAATAATAATAATGTTTGTTCTTTTATTGAAGGATTAGTTCAAAACTTCACAAATAAAGAGAATAATTTATCATAGTTTGTAAATAAGGATAGCTTGTTAGCCGTATGTTTCATCTTTGAAATCTGGCCAATACTACAAGGATTTGTTAGGAAACCTGATATAGTATCATTGCGTGCCAGTTCAAGAAATCTTGACAAATGTTGAGTTTTGTTGTCCTTGTTTACAAAAATAGGTTTAATTATCACCCTTAGCTATTGCTCAAACTATTTGGAGTTTAACACAATTAATTCTTCTTATTAATACAATGATTATTATTATTATTTTATATTTTGTAGGATGTTTTCTTTCTCAATTGAATTTTTGTTTTCTTATGTTTCAATCTCTGTTGAATAAAGCAGCCATTTGTTGGATAACACGAGAACCTTAAGTTGGCTTGTTCTGTTACTACATTGCAGTACTGCCTTCCTTTTTTATCATTATTTTACCAGCCGGAATATATTCTACCGTTCATATATTTTGTTCGATATTCTTTCATAGATCTTCTAGCATATTCTGGACTGCCAACTTTTGCATTTCCCTTTCTATGGTTTAACCTTGACAATCTTTTGTTTAACTGCTTTCAATTCAATGCTTCTCTATTTCTAATTTTTTTCTTGATTTTCAATATCTTTTAATTTTACCCAAGCAGTGATGTTTATTGTTAGCAGGATTTCTTAATCACTCAATGGGTGAATCATTTACTATTCAAATCAGCACGGACCTTGTCCGCCGACTCACTAACACTGACGCGAAGCCAAAAAAATCCAGGGAAGCCAAACCCAAGGCTTCCCAGGACCAACTTCAGCCTCTTGGCAAGAAAAAACTGGCTCCAAATGCTGAGAAAAGCAGCTCCCCAGCAATGTGGCATCAGCAGGCACCTATTTATCTTCCAGTTCCAGTAAGCCCTTCCTTACCCTCCCCTGCCACTGCAGAGTTGGAAGCTATCAAGTCTGTACTCCAAGAGAGTGAAAAGGTTGTGGAGAAGCTAGAGAAGCAAGAAATTAACATGGTTGAAGAGCTAACTCAGAGGGCAAAGGAACTTCGTGAGAAGGAGTTTAAGCTACCTTACCAGAAACCTATGCCCTGTTTGAACGAGAGAGAGGATTGCCTGCAATGCTACAAGGAAAATCTCAAGGATCCTTTAAAGTGCGCATCTGCAGTTAAAAAGTTTGCTGACTGTGCTCTCCAGGCTCGGCGGGAAGCTGGCTAAGTAGGCTTTGAGAGCCTTAAGAGCCTCATATGTTTTTGGGAGTTGCAAGAAACGTCAAACACTATTTGGAGTAAGTCAATTATGATTTGTGCGTAAGGTTCTTATCATGTTAGTTTTGCTTCCATACATTATTTAGTTATCACTAATTTGGCTTACAGGAAGGTTTATTTATCCCACGGCGTAGCTATCATGATGAGATCATTTATCATTTGGAATGAATTACGTAAAATCTTTTTGTCATATATCATACTTCCATAAATTGAAGTCATTCTTATCGTGATATAGTGAAATGAGGAGACATTGTTTAAAATATTTCAACATCAGTATATTATGCATGATGCACATTAACACTGTAATTATACAGATTATGGGTGCGTAAATGATCAGTCTATAACTGATAATCAGTATGCAATGTTATAATGAAATGATGAAAATTTTGGATGGGGGTGTTATGATTGGAGCTATAGATATGACCATGTCACAATGTTACTTATTGCAAGTGATTTTCTTTTAAGACAAGTCAATCAGGTTTTTTTTTTTTGAACAGTGAATTAGTTAAATATTTAAGAATAGTGTTTAAATTATTTGAACCTTTGTGAAAAAGGACAATTGATAGTTTGCCAATATAACATTCAATATGTTCTTTTCGACGTTGGCATACTTCTCTTATTTGAGCCTGGAGATTGCTTCTGAAGAACTCAAGTCCATTTTGACTATATAACTAATTATGCTCATGTTTTCTGTACATGGTCGCCATATTAGCGTTTAGTTGCTTCATTTTGATGGTTGTCAAAAAAAGTTTATTATTTGTGAAAAGCTCATGATTGATTCATTAAGCAGCTCGTGTTCAAATTGTACGTTAAGCAAGCAAGCCAAGTATGAATGAATTTTTAAAGCTTGAATTATAAATGAGCCGAACACGAATAACTTGTTCCCTTTAGCTTGAAATAAATAAATAAATAAATAAATAAATATATATAT